ATGTGGCTGAAAACAATGGTGAGAAGTGTGAATGCGGATTAAAAATAGCTGGAAGACAAAAATACATTAATATAATATAACAGATAATGAAACATGTCACTTTCTCTCGCTGAATAGAAGAGGGGTTGTTAATAACTCTGAATTACCAGACCACCAGGATACACACTTCTACTAAGTCTGCAGTGTGTACAAAGTAAGTGGTATCGGTAGAAAGTCTTTGTGGCATTGGGTAGGCCACAAAGATCTTGGTGCAGTGTCGTAAAAGACAGAGCCAGAATAAGACCAAATATGGCCTTAGGCAGGTCAATATGAACATGAATTTATACCAGGACCGATTTAGAATGCCAGGTGTACAGTAGGTGGTGTTATTTTAAGTTTATTCTTGGTCTAGATTTTTTTGTCATTTTTCTTTTATTGGTGAACGTGATGTCAATAAAATATTGGTATGTTTATACAAGAACCTATGAATGGTGTCTTCTCTATTTTCATTTTTAATATAAAATAGGAGCTGGGAGTTATGGGAATCACAGCCAGGTTTTAAGCATTTTTTGTTACACCATGTTTTTTTTTTTGACGATCTAGAAACCTCAATTTGGGCAGGGGAGCTAGAATATAGGGATCTTGAAGGTTTTATACAGGTTTTCATTGGATTTTACTTGTTGTGGTGGTTAGTAGGCAAAAATGATTGAACGGTTGGGTAGCTGCTAAATTATATCAGCTGGCTTTTCTATTGTTTTTGGTCCTTAGACATCCATCTGACCTTACGCACCCACCTAGATTGCCTTGAGGGTACTTCAGCTCTCCTCACAGGTTGAATATTACCTGCTAAACTGCTAGAAGAGGGAAGCAGGAACAATAAAGGAGAGGTGTACTGAAAGTCTATTTATCCTTAATTTGCAACAGCCTTCATGACAGGAAGCAATGTGAACAGTTTTCATGTTAGGTGGTGTCCCCAGACCCACATAGCCCTAAAGCTTCCTACATTATCAATTTGCTCATTAAAACAGTATACAACCGGTACATGCTCCTCAAATACATATATTTTATTTCCGCTTATGACTGAGTTCATCACCAACCTCCAGGTGCAAAGGGAAACAGCATAGTACCATTAGACTTTTAAGTATTTCGTAAAGGAAACCTGTAAAAAAATGCTCTTGATAATAATTAATTCTTTGTATCTTGTGCCACAGATTATTCTGTGATTGACAGTTCCCTTCACTAGAAATATGATAGTTTACAGTTGTTACTGCTAACATTTAATATATTTTCTACAAAGAAGCATAAAAAAACAGGCAAACACTGAAAAAATGAAGTTAAGCAGCAAGCCAATTAACACCTATGAGTCTTAGAACTCAGCCACAGCTTACTTTGGCAAAACAATCGGTATGACTGCATAGCCTATTAACAAAAGCTTTATATATTTTTTTTTACATTAACAGTTATCACTATTAGTACTTTGGAAACGGCAACAATGGGGTCAGGTCTATGACTTAACACAGCTGTAGCTTGCCAGCAATTGATTTTCATTAATGGTCTTTCAGTAAGATGTTTTAGAATATATTAGATAGTATAATTGTGAGCACTGCAATTTTAGCCAATGACGAGCAACTGTGTACTTGTTTACTGCTTTCATATGCTTTTTACAGGTAATTTCTGAACAGAGTAGCAGACTTAAAATAGCTCAATGTCTAGAAATGTCTAAGAAAAATCTTATCATCTGCTCTAAAAATAACTAGCATTTCCACTAGGATTGTTCATAGTTTAACTTGTATATTAACACAATTATTTGCTATATTAAATTCAGAAATTGCAAATGATATTTTAAAGCGGACATTAAAGTAAAATGCAAAGACCGCTTACATCGTCCAGGGTCCCTCCCTTTACAAAGCACCTACTATTAGAAGGTGTGAAGTGTGTAAAAAGAGTTAGAGCTAACGCTTTCTTCACCCCCATCTTCCACCCACGTCACCAAGGTGCGGAGGATGTCTAACTCCTTCTGGCTAGATCCTGAAGAGTACAGAGCAGCTGATATAATTTGAGAAGAGCCTGTTTCAATAGACTGAAGTGTACTCTTGCAAGATTTAGTCTGCTCTGCATTGTCCTGGTGTTTTTCTGCAAGATTGGTATTGGAACACTCAGTGATGTGAAAGACAACAGTAAGGTAAATGTAAATTTGACTTTTTTTAACAGGTACATATTACACCTACTAACAGTAGGTGATTTGTAAAGGTTGAGGAACCCAGTCAATTTGGGTGGATCTTGTATTTTACAACAAAGTCTTTTTAAATTCATTAAATATTTTAATATAAAACAGGCTTTTAAGTTTGTTTTTCATGTTCTGGAAATACATTAAGGAAAGTAATGCTACCCTTATACAGTTGTGCTCAAAAGGTTGCACACCCTGTCAGAAATTGTGACATTTTGGCATTGATATTGAAGATATGACTGATCAATGCAAAAACAACTCTTTTAGTTAAGGATAGTGATCATATGAAGCCATTTGTTATTATTATGATTTAAAAAGGAGTCAAACAACTATGTGATAACAGAAATCACCCAAATGGCCCAATCAAAAGTTTACATATCCTGGAATCTTTGGCCTTGGACACACAAGATGACACACGCAGGTTAACATGGCAATTAAAGATTACTTTTCCACAATTAGTGTCTCTGTAAAAATAGTTAATGAGTTTGTTAGCTCTCACATGGATGCACTGAGCAAGCTAGATACTGAACAATGGGGAGCAGAAAATAACTGTCAAAAGACTTGTGTAACAAGGTAATGAAACTTGATAAAGATTGAAAAGGATGTAAAAAGTTATCCAAAGCTTTGAATATGTCAGTTAGTACTGTTCAATCACTTATTAGGAAGTGGAAAATTAGGGGATCTCTTGATACCAATCCAAGGTCAGGTAGACCAAGAAAGATTGCAGCCACAACTGCCAGAAGAATTGTTTGGGATACAAAGAAAAAACCCACAGGTAACCTCAGGAGAAATTCAGGTTGCTGTGGAAAAAGATGGTGTGGTTGTTTTAAGGAACACAAGAGAATGATACTTGAACAAAAATTAGTTGCATGATCAAGTTGCCAGAAAGAATCCTCTATTGCACCAGTGCCACACAAAAGTCTGGTTACAATATGCCCAACATTACCGTGACACGCCTTACAGATTCTGGCACAATGTAATCTGGAGTAACGAGACAAAAATAGAGCTTTATGGCCACAACTATAAGAGCTATGTTTGGAAAGGGGTCAACAAGGTGATGGTGGTTCACTGATATTTTGGGGGTGTGTGAGCTCTAAAGGCATGGAGAATTTTGTAAAAATTGATGGCAAGATGAACACAGCATGTTATCAGAAAATACTGGCAGACGGAATGCATTCTTCTGCACGGAATCTGCACATGGGATGCTCTTGGACTTTCAAGCATGATAATGACCTTAAGCACAATGCCAAGTTGACCCTCCAGTGGATACAGCAGAAAAAGCTAAAGGTTCTGGAGAGGCCATCAGATTATCCTAACCTTAATATCATTGAGCTATTCTGTGGAGATTTCAAAAGTGCAGTTCATGCAAGATGACCAAAGACTTTGCATGACCTGGAGGCATTTTGCCAAGCTGAATGGACAGCTATACCACCTGCAGAAATTCTGGGCCTCATAGACAACTATTACAAAAGACTGCATGCTGTCATTGATACTAAAGCAGGCAATACACAGTATTAAGAACTAAGGGTATTCAGACTGTTGAACAGGGGTTGTTATGATTGTGCCATTTTGTTATGACCTACAGTTATACAGTTATACAGAATATGAATTCCATGAGAACTAAATTTGTTTTGCCTGCTCACTCATGTTTTCTTTAAAAATGGTACACATTGTATAGTATATTACCATTTCTCCGAGGGTATGCAAACTTTTGAGCACAGCTGTATACAGAGAAAGGTCAATATTATTTGGGATCATTTTACTAAAAGTTGTGAAATTAAAAGAATATTTGGTTTGTTGATAAGGCTGGTCATTAGCTTTTAGGGTCTCACATGCCATTTGTATCATTCCCTGTTCCCTAATAGGCTTTATCTTCTATTATGTTTCATATCATTGCTGATTTGTTATTAATGTATAGCAATTATGTATTTTCCTGCCATTAAATGATACAGAATATGAGAGTTTTATGTGACTGAAAGATTACAGCAATAAAAATAGTAGTAATAAGAGCAGGCAGCAGTAGAACACACCTTCTCCATTAAAACATGAGTAGGACCCATCAATATATGAGCAGTGCTATGCGGATACAATTAAATTAAGCAGACAGGTAGTTATGGCCTACATGCTGCCATAAAATCCAACCTATGTTTTTGCCTAAAATTATGAACTTTTTGCTGTAACAAAAATAAGAGCACCACACAGCAGCGATATTTATTATATAATTTGCTCATATACTTGGATAGATAAACACAGTCAAAAGAGCAGAAAATCAGACAAAAACAAATGTATTACCTCTTAATGATGAAACATTAATATGCAATTTAAATGTGTGAAAACAAATGATTTTTGTAGTCCATCTTTGCAAAATTGTTTTAATCATGCAGTCATTTTTATCTTCTAAATGTATTTAATAATTTAATTAAAACAGATGTAAGTAATTATACTGAAAATGCATACACCCCAGTGAACTGCATTATGGAGCTGTATTGATTCCCAGACTTCACATTTCTACTATGTATTGTATTTCATGCAGCTAATAAATGTTATAGATAAAAATAAGTTATTAATCCAGTTAAGGGAGCTACTTAAAGCACTCAAGTGTGCATCTATTTCCCTAAGCCTGTGATGGGAATAACATAAATAATAATTTCTACTTAGCAACCCTATTTATTTTTTTGCACTCAGCATTAATGTAACAACACATAAAATAGATGACCTGTTCATTTCAAAAGAATAATGACTGGTAACCTACATTGGGGGGGATCAATTTTGCATTGTTCTCAGTTCAACAAGACTAGTCCTTGACCAAAGAGAAAATTTTTAACCATTCAAGATGGATTGCACTTACCGTACCCCACCATAAAGCATCTGCATATGTTTGAAACTGTGTGTTAGCTTCTTTCTCAACCAGGTAAACAAGAAACGAGGAAAAGATGAGCACTAGAAATCCTATGTACCAAGCTGTGATAAGTTCCTGAATGGTAAACACACAAACACAGAAAATTCAATCATAATAAATATTTTCCTAATTGCAATAAATTGATAGATAATAGATAATTTATTTTGTAATTTAGTGTTAGGTTCTTCAAACTAACAAACAAACAAAAAATAAAGTAAGAACCCCTTCTATTACCACCAATATCACACAGATACACTATACACACAATTTACAGCTAAAACTGCAAGGACTTAAAAAAAAAACACTTAGGTCATATATTTATCAGTCTAGTAAATATGAAATATCAAATATGAATATTATGTAGTCTTTTATCCAGCCAACAATTGCAGCTCCATGCTCTTTTTCACTATTCCCTTGCTCACAGAGATCAACAGCTCAAAGTGAAACTTACACATACAGCGGAATGTCACAAACTATTGATTCTGCTCTTAGTGAACAGCTCAAGTTTTCTTTTACTGAACATGATTAAAAGGAGCTGATTACTGCCATGCTCTCCCAAGCTATAACTTTCCAGTTCTAAGCTGGAGTCCCTTGAGAACTCTTTATTATGTAGAAAAAGTTTCTTTGGAAAACAAAACAAAAACGTTAAACATGCTATGGATAACAAACTCTGACAAACCATATAAAGTTATTGAAATAACTTTCAACCTACAGATACGAGTTCCCTGGGAACAGGTAAAAGTTTTCTATTGACAACAGTTTTGATCTTGGTCCCAGAATCATAAATAGTAATACAACCTGACAATTGCTCCACACAGATTGTAAAGATATGTATGGTTTTGCTTGAGTAGATTAAAGTAGAAATAAATTGTTGCATTGGTCTCATGACCTCTGCTGAAGAGGAACAACAGCCAGTCGAAACTCTTTAGAAAAGACTCTTTAGAAACTCTTTAGAAAAGATATGAACTTCATCCCTTTTGTTAGATCCTGTTCACAATACCCCATTGCACTAAAGCATCATGCACTTGTTAGTGCATTGTAGTGCCATTCATTTTGAATGGCACCCCTGCTCACATCCTGAACACAGCTGTGCTACAATGCACCCCAGTGCACCACAACACGGGATGTGGATAGATTAACTTTTACAATAAACTTCTGTTGAAGAATCCTCTCCAGGTCAAACTTTGTTGCAGAGTTCTACTATGTTCTCTTTTCTCTCTCTTGCAAATCCCATAGTGTTTACAGATCCCTCCCATTTGCCATGGTTCCAACATTTAATTTTTTTGCTGTCAGCTTTAGAAAATCAGTTTTTGTTCAGTTTAGCAAAGAAAGGACATTAAAACACGTTAAAAAATGGGTTCTGTGGCAAGTGTTGTTATATCACTGTTAAAGTATAACTACAGTAAAGGCATTTTTTTTTTTTTTGGATGGAGTGAAGAGGGAGTGGAGAGAGATTAGAACATCTGTAAGGTTTTTATTGCTGTCTCTACCCCGTTGGGGAGACTCACCCTCTCTATGTGTCCTGTTTACCATTATCATTGAAAGTAAAAGAAAATCCCAAATTTTGGGCTGACACCAGAACAGTAATGGGGGGGGGGTCTTCCAATGGGGACACTGGTTGAGGTGACCCTGGTGACATCCTCAAATTCCCTTACTTTGGAGGGATATCCTTTCACTTCCTGTTTTGGCTATGGGACAGGAAGTTAAGGAAATCTCCCCAAAGGGATGCAGATGGCAAAAACAGGGGTAATAATTATTTTTCGAAAAAAAAAAAAAGTTTGCCTTTAGTTCTACTTTAAGCAAAAGAGGAGTTACTCAACTTCATTCTATTCTGTAAAATTTCCTACAGTAACAAGCACAATCCCCACATACAATCTTGTTAAAAGTGTATATTATGTGGTGAATAGCAATGTAGTTTACCTTGCTATGTGCATAAACAACTGAACCTAATAATTTCCATGTCCCTCCTCTCCGATCCATGCGCACCATACGGAGGATCTGTAGGAATCGAAGACTTCGTAGGGCTGATGTAGCAAAAATATTTCCCTGAGATCCAGCAGACACAACTGCCACTGATGCAATAAGAACTATAATATCTAAAGGCAAACATGAAATGGTTAGTCTATAAAGCATTGGAAAAGATAATATTACCAATAAGTCCTTGCCCCAGAGAAGCTTACATTTCCATATTTTTTTTACAGTTTGAAAACACAGGAACTAAAATCTATGTGGTCCGATTCGAGATATCCAGGTTTTACACTTTTAGCATAAAATGGAACCCTAATCTATAAACAGGTTTGAATCTGCTATATTTCTCATGGTTTGGGGGTACCTCTGCTCCTCGTAGTAAATCCACCAAAAGAGTGTAACATTTTGGGAAATTAAGATAACGCATAAAGGGGTGTCATTAAGTGTTATAGTTACGTGAAAACTTTTGAAAAATATTTACATATGAGGGTACCAGTTATAAATGTACGTAAATTAGGTGACCCATGCCAGGAGGCAATCAGTAAACACTGGCTCTTAATAAAGAGGCTGATATTGTAATGAAATTGTATGAAGTCATAAATATTGGTCTGAATTCATCCACACTGATAGAGTAGGATGGGATGTTCCAAATTTCTATGATTTTGTATGGATGAGCTGTTACATCATGTGCAAACATCATTTTTTAATACATTTATAAATTATTTAACCCAGCTTGTGACTAAAAGAAGATACTGGAGTAGTGAGGGTTGGGTGGGTGCTTTATGTTGATACACTGTCAAGCCTGAATCTGTAGAAAACCTTTATGAAAAAGTGTAAAATCCCTTGAGTATGCTATAAGATCAAGTAGTGTAGGTGACTACAATGTAACATTTGTGAACACAGTGACATCTACAAGAAACATTTCAGTCCCCCCCAAAAAATCTAAAAGTAAACTTGTGCATATATACAGTGCATGTAGGGACCTTTGTCAGTATAAGGTTGTACTTTATATTGTGCATTCTAGAACTAGATGTGGGATCCTTATCAATCCTTTACAGTAAGTATAAAGCCATAGCTAAGCAACGCTCTTCTCATTTATTTTTAATAGAGGCTTCCCTGAGAACATCTGCCTAACAACCTGTGGCAAAGGGGTCCACCTGACTACAGTGGCTTTTTCCACTCTCCTCACAGAGAGGAAAAAGAATCAATGCAATTGCTTCAGTATTTAAAGAAAAAATCTTTGTGTGCAAAAATAAGCACTCATAAGGTACTCTTAAAAATATCAATTCTCCACAGAGCCCTTCTTGGTACCCTTACTTCAGCAGTTGTTCAACAGCAAGCCAGGGCTTGGAAACACTCTTATGCTCTGTCCTGCCAACTATTGTTTTTAGCAACATATAAGTCACAAATAATTACAAAGCAAATTATTCCCACTATATTGTCTTGTAAAAGTACAAAAGTTATGGAATGCACATATAACATTTATGAATGGAAGTGTCACATTGAAACAACTGCCAAAAATCGGGTGTTTCAGAAAAACTAAAATATTATTGTGCATGGCCATAAGAAGGCAGTTGAGCATTGCATAAGATATAGGTGTCTGGACATGCCCCATGGTTGTCTTAATATAGCACATGTCTAGCAAATGTCTACACGTAACTGTCAATATTACAGGCAAATCAGATATAAAAGCATTATCTGACTGCCCTCAGACATCTATCTTGGCCAGTGCTTGCCTAAACATATGTGGCCTCTACTGGCAATGTGTGTAGGCCTATGGAGATGCAGAGACTGAGCTCTGCAGGTGTCCCATAAACATTAAACTGTTGTCTATGCCAACAATGTCTATGAACACCTTTAGATGGTATTTCCAGACAGTCATTTCTTGAGGTTTTCTCATCAACTTGCTATTGTCTTCTCTAAATAAGGATCAGGCCAAAGGAGTCTGCTCATTGAACAAGCAAGTCTCTATGATGTGCTCTTACTCTGACAAACTATGGGAGTTATTTACTAAAGCTGGAGAATGCACAATATGGTGCAACTCTGCATAGAAACCAATCAGCTGCCATTGTCCAGCTTTATTGTCAATGCTTAACTGAACAAGCTGAAGTTAGAAGCTGATTGGCTACCATGCACAGCTGCATCAGAATCTGAGTGCACAAGTTTTAGTAATTCTCCCCCTTTGTATATACTCTGTGGTGCTGTTTTGCAAGTATTCCACATGGTTTTAGGGTAAAAATATATTATTCCCCTAATCTACCAAAGATCTTTCTTTTTTAGATTTTCTATTTTTCTAAATTAAAAACACACACACGCAAAACTGTCATTGATACTCCTATAATGTTACTGAACATGTTAGAAACCAATTATACTGTATTAGAAACCAAGTTTGTAATTTGTTCCAGTAGAAGATTTCCTGGTGTCAGTCTGCCAATATCAGTAAAACACTCAAAAGATAAAAAGATACCTAAAAGAATCATATTAAAAGAGCAAATGCAATGAACATTAATTAATGTGACATTTAATTATAATTAAATGTATACATTATATAAACATGCTGATAAAAGATTTGTTCAATTAAAATATTTTGCAAATGGGTATCAAATCACAAAATAAGTTATTCAGTTGTAGAATTGTTGTTTTTCATTGACTGTATACCATTAATTAATTTCCTAGGATAAGCTGATATTAAAGTCTTTAAATGTATTCAGTGTGTTTTAGCAAACTGTTCCCTGGTACATGTAAAATGTACACTTGCCATTCTTGCAATACAGGGAAGAGGAAGGTCATGATTTCATATCACATTTGATCATGCAATTCCATGAAGTGTAGGTCAGGTGGACATTGGTGGTGTCAAAGCAGGTGGAAAAAAAGAAGATAATACTTTGTAACTGGGAATGTTGCACCTATGGCATAATAGCACTATATACTAATACTATAGACACACGCTGGATATGTATGTTGTAAGTTTAACATACCTATTACACAAAATGGTTTCCTGGCATATCTTAACCTTCCCTGCCATCCTCGATAGCGACAGCAACAGCCTGCAGACCATATACGGATAATGTACTCCAAACCAAACACAACGATCATTACAAATTCCTAAAATGACATTAGAAATGCTGGTTAATGTTACCTATATAGCATAAGTTCCATAAATAAAGTAGATATAAACACTAAATAAATGAAATTTAGTTTGCTAAAGCATTGTACATCATTAACAATTGCATTGTTTAAATTAAATACTTGTTTTCATCTTTTTTTATCTTTTTTTTTTATTTCAGTGTTGCTGATGTCCTGCGGACTCTTTGAAGGCACTTCCTGACTACATGTATGGAATCCAGTGACACGTGGCGTTTCTCAGAGTGGGATTTCTGATGGTGATAACAGTGGACCATGCCTGTGTAATATTGGCTGACAGAACCACCAGCATTCTCTATCAGAAGCGTATGTGACAGGATAAAATACAGGAGCATAACAGAGAGAGAGAGAGTGTTTTTCACTCTGTAACTGAAAGTGCATGAACTAGATCCTAAAGGCAAGATTACTTGGTATTCTAATCAAAATGGCACATTTAAAAATATTTAAAAATGTTCACATTGGAAACTGAACTCTTTCTGGCTCATCACCCTCCCAGACCTGAAGGCTGTACAGCATGAATGGGAATTCTTTTTTCTTACAAATTTGGGCTCGGACTCCTGTGGGGCAACCTGGTAAGCGTTTAAGTTGCATGCCCGTGTGGTACTGGCAACCTGCATATCCAGATACAAGGTCTCCTCCAACATAGTAGTGCAACAGACAGAAGAGCATTTACAGTTGCTAGAGCAGGCTTTTCAGGCTCACCCCTTCTCTGATAATGCCACACTGGTGAAAATGCAGTCTAAGCTAGTCAATCATCTTCTTTTTGAAAAAGCATGTTTTCTTCAGCAAGAAGCAGGTGTTTGAGCATGGGGAGTGGGCAGGAAGATGCCTAGCTTACTTAGCCTACCTTGACCATAAACCTCCTGTGGTTGTGACCCTTCATACTTCATCTGGGCAGAGGGTGACTTACGCTGCCCTTGTAGTTCAGGAGTTTCGCTGATTTTACGCGGCCCTATATTCCTCCACCACTCAACTTTCCCAAGCTGAGCTCACTGTGTTTCTCCAATAGGTGACATTTCCCTCCTTATACCCCTCACAAGTTGAGATGCTGGAGGCCCCTAAGGATGACATTGAGGAAGCATTGGCACACCTTACCCCTTCAGATGGGCTTTCTCTGGAATTCTATACCCAATTCCGCAAAATCCTCATCCTAAAACTGAAGGACGTTTACACCCATATTTTATACTCCAACTCCCTCCCCACCTCTATGAGAAAAGCCCTCATGTTTGCCGAATCTTACCAGCCCATTTCCCATTTACAATTAGATGTTAAGATATTGGCTAAAATATTAGTGTTACCTTTAAATAAAGTGATTCTTAGCTTGATCCACGCCAGATTGGGTTTATGCCACATAAGAACACAGTCTTCAATCTGAGATGCCTATTTATGAACTTACAATCTCTCCATGGCTCTATGGGCTCAAGGGTGATAGTTGCCTTGGATGCTGCCAAGGCATTTAAAGCAGTAGAGTGGGATTGCCTATGGGAATGTCTATGCAGGTATGGGTTCGGGATGAATTTTATTAAATGGATTCAGCTATTATACCAAACCCTCACAGTAGCACCAGCATACTGGTTAATGATGGGGTCTCTGACCGCTTCCTCTTATCCAGAGGGACCCGGCAGGGGTGCCTGTTATCCCTATTGTTATACGCTCTGGCTCTTGAGCCTCTAGCCACTGCTATATTTTAGTCATTATGCAAACTACATGCTTCTGTATCTGGAGGATGCGGGTCCCTCACTACTGGCTGTGCTTTGCCTCATTGTGCGCTTCAGGAAGTATTCAGGGTTGAAAATGAATTGGGATAAGTCCAAGATCCTCCCTTTGGACTACGAAGCCCCAACAGCAGAGCAGGCCTCTCTTCTCCTGTTTAGAGTAAGCCAAATAAAATATCTTGGTGTCCTGGTTTCCTGTTCTCCCGAGGACTATTTCAAACCTAACTTGGGACCCCTGTACCACTTCTTGAAGTCCAAAACACAGATACGGTCCCATCTTCTCCTTGGAGTCATGGGAAGAATCAA